TGGATGTCAAAACAGCTTTCCTTCACGGTGACTTGGATAAAGAAATCTACATGGAGCAACCTGAAGGGTTTCAGGTTAAGGGAAAAGAAGACTATGTGTGTAGACTTCAAAAGAGTCTTTATGGGTTGAAGCAAGCACCAAGACAGTGGTACAAGAAGTTTGAGTCAGTTATGGGGGAGCAAAATTACCGAAAGACTACTTCAGACCATTGTGTTTTCTTCCAGAGGTTTGATGATGATGATTTCATTATTTTATTGTTATATGTTGATGACATGTTAATTGTTGGCAAGAATGCAGAAAGAATTACTCAGCTGAAGATGCAATTGAGCAAGTCTTTTGCTATGAAAGACTTGGGGCCAGCAAAACAGATTCTTGGCATTCGGATCACTCGAGATAGAGCTTTGAAGAAGCTACACATGTCACAGGAGCAATACATTGAGAAGGTGCTTCGCAGATTCAACATGGACAAAGTTAAAGAGGTTAGTTCACCTCTTACTACCAACTTCAGGTTGACAGATAAAGATTGTCCATCTTCTGAGAAGAAGATTGAAGAGATGGATAGAGTTCCTTATGCCTCAGTTGTAGGGAGTTTGATGTATGCTATGGTGTGCACACAGCCTGATATTGCCCATGCAGTAGGTGTTGTTAGTCGTTTTCTGTCAAATCCAGGTAAGAAGAATTGGGAAGTAGTGAAGTGGATTCTCAAATATCTACGTGGTACTTCCAAATTGGGTATAACATTTGGAAATGGGGAGCCAGTACTTGTTGGTTATACTGATTCTGATATGGCAGGAAACAAGGACAACATGAAATCCACTTCTGGATATTTGATGACTTTTGCAGGGGGAGCTGTGTCATGGCAATCGAGATTACAAAAGTGTGTGGTTTTATCCACCACCGAGGTTGAGTATGTGGCTGCAACAGAAGCTTGTAAGGAGCTATTATGGCTCAAAAGATTTATGCAAGAGATTGGCTTTATGCAACAACGTTACGTGGTTCTTTGTGATAATCAAAGTACCTTTCACCTTGCTAAAAATTCTATGTTTCACAAACGAACCAAACATATTGATGTGAGGTATCATTGGATTAGAGATGCACTTGAAGACAAACTGTTTGAACTTGATAAAGTTCATACCGATGATAATGGTGCCGATATGTTGACGAAGGTTCTAGCAAGGGAAAAGTTGAAGGTATGTTGCTCCATCGCCGGTATGGCGAACTCTTCCTCATAAGTCAAAAAGGGGGAGATTTGTTGGGTTTTTCCTTTGTTTTTGACCCATGAGGAAAGCCCAAGTTTTGAGCCCATTAAAAGTCTTCTTTGACTTTCTTTTTTGGGAGCTAATAATAAAATATGGGTTAGCTACTATCTCAATACATGAGGCCAGAAAGAGAGCAGCGGAAAATAGAGCATAAGTCGTAAAACATGAGCTGAGTGTGCTCATCCCGTTTTTCCAGCAGGCAGCAGCAGAAAACTTCCGTTTCCCGGAGATTGAACCGTTGGATCGTCGTGATTTTTGGACAGCAGCTTCACAGCATCTGAGCCAACATTCTGGACGGTGGAGATCGGGTTTTGAGGTCCGGAGGTCGGGTTTCGTTGGTCTGGAAAGTAGCTATTTTTCTGGTGATATTTTTCTTATCTTGGCTCTATTTGATTCCATACACCTTGATGTGCTTACTTCCAAGGATATGATGAATGTGTATGCCTCTAGTATTATCTAGAGAAGACTTTGTACTGCTCCTTTGATGATGATAGTGGATTTAAGCGGCCAAAATGGTCCCGTGGTTTTTCCCTAGTTAACGGGTTTTCCACGCTAAAATTCCGGTGTTTGTGTGTGGTGTGTGCTTACTGTTTTAGCTGAATATATTGGTGTGTGGCAGCAACTTGTGTGTGTTCTAATTGCATTAAGAACACCCTATTTGTTTGCATCTTCAAAGATTCATTCAAGTTGGGAAAGTTTAGCCAAACGGAGATTAATTCCGCATTTTATTAGTACCGTTTGTGGCTGTTTTTCCCATCAATACATAGAATAATTTTTTCTTAATATAATTAATAATAATAACAATCATCCTTATTTCTTATTTAATTTTATTTGTTCATATGTACTCCATATATAATTGAGTTATTTGATTCTCTCTTATATATTATTTAGGCCATACATTTGATTTTGTATTATTTATTTTTAATTTTTATATGTGTATGTCTACAATAATGCATATTTATATAAAACTATATTAGTTACTCAAATTTTAAGAATGATTGTATTATTCCAAAATGTTTAAAACTATGAGATGTTAATAAATTAATTAGCTACCGTCAAAGTTAACGACAAATTTTAGCGGAAGGACTTGATTTATATAGATTTAATAGATTATTGACTAAAATGATAGATTCAATATTTCGAGGATCAAAATGATATGATAGCGATAGTTTAAGAATCATTTATGCATTCTACTCTTAAATTTAATGTATTAAATGATTAAAAGTTTGAAATATATGGGTCATCGAATGCCCAAGTAATTTATTTCATTTAGTTGTAATGAATAATAAACTATTATATAAAACTAAATACGATAGTATAGATTTTTTAAAGAAGTATTTTGTGGAAGTTGGTGAGTTTTTAATATCTTTTATTTTGTTATTATTGCTATCGTAGAAGATTGTGAAACTTTTTGACACTATATGAGCCAAAGAACGAAATAAATATACATGACAACAATACGGTGACAACACAGTTAACTTAGTATAGTTGGTGAGGCGTTAAAGGTTATGAAACGTTTTTGTGCAGGTTCGATTCCCACCATGATTTCTTTTAATTTTAATGTGGATATCCTTTCAAAAAAATGACGTGGATTTGTAGATGCAGATTTCAATGCTGACATGGCACTTATATTTCGATGACTAGGCAAAAACTACCCTAATTTGAGAAATAAGTTAAAAAGTACTATGTTTAGGAAAATAATATAAAAAGTACCCTTATTTGGGAAAAACTCTATAATCTTGGAAATGCGCATACTTGTTTTACATGATATCTGGCATTCCAATTCCAACCTTGCCTAAATTAAATGTTTTTAACGGAGTACTTTTTTAAAATAAAAATAGAGGGTTCTAGTAACATTAAATATGAAACTTATGACATGTTTATTTCATAGTTTAGTTAGCGGTGTTTATTAAAACTATGATTTTTAATAAAGAAAATATTGTCTTAAAAATAATATAGGTGTACAAAAAACCACAATACCTGAAACGTTTAAACGAAAAAGTGTGAAAATTTGTCCGCGATTAAGAGCCTGCTTGGTGGCCCTTTTTGACTTATCAGATTTATCGGTCAACTTTTTTACCAAACATATCAATTCTGATTTCACGCACATAATTGTGTTATAATCAAAATAAGTAAGGTTGTAGTTACTTTTCTGACTGAATTGGCTAAAATCACTGTAGATAATCATTTTGGTTGTTTTTCATACGGATTATAATTTTTCCTTATTTTACTAACAAAATATATGTTAGATAAAATTTTCATAATCCAGTAGATTCCGCCAATTCAACTCATCACTTAATCAATCCAGACGATTATTAAATGTGATATGCATTTCATCTCATAGAATATTAAATTTTTGTTGCCTACGTTACTTGGGTTGGTTGCCCCTACATTTGTCTATTTGTCTCACTCATTTACTAGGGGATAATGTAGTATTTTAGGAGTCTAACAATCATTTCACTGTCCCTAACCTTTTACCTAAGTTGAGTCCGTCATCACAATTCACAAACACTTAAAAAACCATTTCCATTTGTTATTTCGTAGCCGAACTTGGTCGGCTCTATCGTTAACTGATGAAGGTCTTGTGTGGTGATGTTTTTGCCTCCTACGGTCCTACCTACCTCTCAATCTGTTTTGGCTTGATGGCAACTAGCAGACACCATCAACATCCATTAGCACTTTTTTAGTGTGTTAATTGTTGCGGGCCTATGTTCCCATGCAGTTGCAATCACTAAATCTGGTCAGTGGTGTGAACTTTAATTCCAATTGCTTGTAGAGTTTTGGTCACCACTCATCCCTGCACAATTTGAGTATGACTGTGGAGGCTTGTATCTAATTTGGTGCTAAGGCTGTATGCAACCATTGCGGTGAAAAATGAAAAATTTTAATGTTTTTACCCTTATGGTGGGCAACCATAAAAAAGGTATAAGAGGCCAAGAGAGTGTCTAGGTGTGCAACCATAAAAATGGTACAACAGGGTGTGGTAATGAGTATTGTGCACTCTTGAGTGGGTACTTGTCGCCTTCTAGGATTGGATCTAGAAATTTGGATTAGGCTAGGCCGAAAAGTATATATACTAGGTTTAAATATTAGCAAGATCGATTAAATATGAAAGAAAAAAACATTGAAATTAAAAAAAGATGCACTGGGCCACCCTAGGATAGCCCGTATATAGATCATCCTCCGCTCCCTTCACTTCGGGCAAAACTTCGGGCGGAAAGGGGATAGCAGAGAAAAAGGCAATGGCGGAGGCGGGGATAAAAAATCTTTTTATGAAGTGATATAACTATTTTTGTACTTCATTTTTTACAAAAATATATCAAAGTCGTAATTTTTTATTATCTTTCATATGACACCAATATTGCATATTCAAGTTTAAAAAATTGAAGATCCGATTACTCGGTTTTAAGACTAAAGGTTTTTTTAGGTAAACACATGTTAAAATTAAGATCTCAGGCTACAATTTTTTAACATCTTTCATATATTATTTTCAAAAATAGGTCTGAAATAACAAGAAGTTAAACTCCAAATTTATTTATTTTTATACGAAGTATATGATTGTTGGAGTTTTAAAATCATAATTATTCGTAAAGAAATGCTAACAAAAATTATGTATAATAATAAAAGTAAGGATTCAATTAACAAATGGTCATAGGTGAAGGGGAAAATGATTGACGGACTAATTGGGAATTTTATTTATTGATGGTTGAAGCCTAGCCTAAAGAAATACTCCGTATTTTTACTGCATCCATATATTTCAAAAATACCAATAGGCGCCGTATATTTTATATGGCAGTGTAAAGAACCATCAGAGGGCATAGTTGAAGCAGGAAGGGAGGAATCGCAAGTCTCAATACTCAATAGTATAATTGACCTTTTTAGTGGTTTGAAATTATTACATGAAGTTAGATTGCATCATGGCCCTGCCCAAGAATGCCGCCTAATTGTTCTGAATTGTCTTGATGGCATTTGGGACACGCCAATTTCCTTTGCAGCTCATCACCGAGAGATGCACACTGATTCTCCAACACTCCTGTCTGCTTGATTCTAGTCGAGGATAAAACAAAACTACTGAAGCATCAAGCATCTGACGTCAAGAAAAGGTTAAATAACTGCAGAAGTACTTCACCAGTATAAGAGTATAATTAGCTCAAGAAATTGCACCAGATAATATGGAAAATTTGCAACTTACCGAACTTCCAGTAATAATGTTAGCCCTTAAGAGACCTTAAACCATAATTAACTTACCAAAGAACAGTTCATACTTCATATATATATGAATGTGTGTAATTATGTACAAATACAACCACAACAACAACGTTACCCCAGTGCCGCATAGAGAGACTGTTTTAAAGCATAGAGAGACTGTTTTCGGATGACTCATGATGAAAATCACGTCGAAAATTCCATAAGTTGAGTGTTGTTTCAAATAAAGAAGTGTAGACGGGTTAGTGAGTCATTTTGCTTTATTCCATCATATTCTCAAGACAAAAAATAGCGAGTCCTTGGCTCCATTTGAAATGATGTAAAAAAATTATGCACAAATATATGAGGATATTCATTCAGCTCCTGCCGCTCTATGCTTTCTTTCATTATTGCCTCCATCACCTTTACTCTCCTTTCCATGACAGTTAGCTCCTCTTGTACCTGCATATCCCCCCACCCCAATAGCACAACTCAGTCTACTAAAGCTGCAAGAAGTATTCGAAGGACACATAGATAATAGATATGCATATATAAAAAGTCTATGAATGAGAAACTCTTATGTGTGCATTGGCAAAGGGAAACTTTAGACTCCAAAGAGTTGGAAAGAGGATGCTGAACCTGCTTATGCACATTCTGCAATGTTTGATATTCTTCTTTCTCCATAGTGATCTGACTATTGACATGAGCAACCTTATTCTCAAGATCCCTCCTTTTTAGTTCATTGGAATTATCTACACCTTGTAATTAAAAAAATGCCCAGAAAATCTTGTCAGCGTTCAGCTGCTGGTATTAAGAACTTAAAATAATATGAGTATTCATGTATATGTGTACGAAAACTTTTAGCACCCCCGACTTTAAAGTAGAAATGTGATCTACTAAGTTCATAAAACTTTTTGTAACCAAATCTTTTCCACAATAGGTGTCATCTGTGCGCACAACCCACACCAGAGTATAATTTTATCTCGCTGAAGTTCTCGTTGCTGAAAGTTGAGCCTATTGAGTCATAGAATCTCCTGTGTCAGCAAACAGAAAGCAGTTAATCTTCTCAATGTAAAAAAAAAAAGAATATATTCGAACACATTATGGACCAGATGAAAATACGTTTCTACAGATATTCAGAAAGCTATTATCCATGCAAACCCCTCTTAAACACACAACTGAACTCCTGAAACCAATTATCTTATCTATTTAAAACTCTTCCTATAATTTTCAACTTCCACATATCCGCATTGCTAAACCCAGAGTTCTAGAGCTGAAAATCTTAAATATGCTTTAGCAACAGCTTGTTACCATACAGGCAAAGTCACATACATAGAATTAAAGTAAGAGCACAATTGGAGTCCAAATGTCTAATCATGTACTTATCAGTTAGACACTAAAAACACTCAAAAGGAACCTACCTTATTTCTGCATTGAGTTCGAGCATCCTCTTCATGAAATCCTCTCTGTGCATGCAGCAGAAAAGACTCAAATGAAGTACTGATGTCATACAGGATGCTCACAGGGAGCTGCAATACTCTCTTTAGAATGGTAACCATAGTACAATACAGAAGAGGCAAAAGGTGCATTTATCTTTACCTTATTGCGACTTCTTCATTCTTTGCATGACACATTGTTAAGAGGAAATTAATGTTAGTTGCAAAGTAATTTCTAATTTTCTATCAATGGCAAAACATATAATCCGAAAAACTAATACATAGTAGTTCATATACCTTAAGAGCGTGTACATTAGAACCAACAGCTGATATCTCCTCTTGAGTAGAAGCAATCCTCGCCTAAAACAAATTAAACCACATCCACAATTACCAAAAAATATCATTTTAGATTCGCTTGCCTACCAGACATGATACTCTGCTCAGGAACTTAATAAATATATATCGGAGCTTTGATAAACCTCTAGAGTTTGAATTGAAGCTACATTCATAGCTAATTCAACTTCGTATCCTTTAAGCTCTTGCTCGATTGATTCCTTGACATGCTTAGCTTCTTCAAGGTTCGCATGCGCAGCTTCAATCTCAGATAGAAGCTCTCCTATTCGGATCTTCAGATTCGAAATTCTCCTTTCTGCGAGCACAGCAACATGTGCATACACAACTCAGTCCTATAGGTGTTAGATTAATTTCACTCACATTTACTTCCGGGGACGACTTCAGGTGAAAATTCTAGCAAAAATGTATGAAAATGAGAAATAACACCTCCTTGAGATTTTTCGGAAGCATAGTCGCGAATTAGGCTTAGCAATTGTTTCTGCGAATCGCATCCCGCCATTTCTGTCAAGTTTGTACAATTTGAACTCTGGTTTTGAATTTTTAGACACGGGCTTTGGCAAGAATAAAAATGGTTAAAATGTGCAAATTAAGTACACGTGGTGCAATTTCCCTCTTCCCCTTCTCTCTCTAAACAAAAAGAGATATCATCTTCCTCTTCTTCATCTTCCTCTTTCCTTCTTCATCCTCTTTTTCTCTACCTTTTATATCAATTTTCATTTTTCATTATTTGCACAAAATCATAGACAATTGAATATTTTGTTCAACAGACAATTGAAATTAATCACACCCACAACTAAAGTTGATCGCACATACAACTATTGTATGTGAAACGCATAACTATTATATGAGTGGTAAATATTGTCTGTGCACACAAACAAATAATTATTTGTGCAACATGAAAATATTGTTTGTGCACATAGGCATTGCACATATATTGATTGATTTGCAAACTGGTGTCAGTGCCAGATGATTGTCAATGTACTTTTTACAAGTAAATGTCTGTGGACACAGATAAAAGTTATCTGTGACCGACATTTTGTGTACAAGTTGTGTACAACTTGTGTACCTCTGGCATTTCTGTTAGCAAGAAATAAAAATAAAAAAATAAAAACTTTTTCATTTTTTTTGCTAAAGTGAAAACATTTTATTCGAAGCTTTATGCAAAACTAATTCCATTAAATTTTTATTTCATTTTCTAAAATATACAGTGTATCAATCGCCTATTTTTATTTTATATCAATGCATCAATTTGCTTGGGCACTTTTAAGTGTTTATTTACGTATGTTTTAAATATCACATACGAGTATATAATCACATTAAATTCTTCGAACAATAATTAATTTTGTACAAATAACGAATATTTAATGCGTACTAATAGTAATTTAATTAGAAATTACTTCAAATAGGACTAAAACTATGACAAAAACTCAAAATAGGACTTGCTATGTTTTTTTTCCAAAATAGGACCATAGTGGTCCTATTGGAAACATACTCATTTCTTCCTTCCATTCTTACCCCTCCTTTAAATATTAGTAAAAGATAGCTAAAAGTCATAATTAAATGTTTAATTCATAATAAATTCGAAAAAATTTCAATAATTCGTAGAAAAATAATAAAAAAATTAATAAAATTTTTATAAAATAAAAAATAAGAAAAAAAAATTTAATTTTTTTTTTAAAAATTAATAAAAAATAGTAAAACTCCATAAAAAAAATTAAAAAAAATATGGATACGTTTCCCACCGCCTGTACTACCTCCCTGAACCACCACCTCCGATCGGTGTAAAAAATGCCACTTTTTTTTTAAATTCCACAAAAATGGCATATTTCTCTATGAGAATGCCAACATTTTCATTCTGCCAACTTGAATCCTTTTGACTTTTGCCAAAAATATGGCATTCATAATTTTTTTGGAATTTTTTTACCCCGGTGACAGGAGGTGGTGGTACCGCCTCCCTGCACCACCACCTCCGACCGTTGAAAAAAAATGTCATATTTCCTACAAACTTCCATTTTTTTCGGAAAATGCCAAAAATATGGCATATTTCTCTTTGAGAATGCCAACATTTTTTTTCTTCCATCTTAAATCATTCTGAATTATGCCAAAAATATGGAATTCATAATAAATTTGGCATTTTTTCCCCAAATGACTAGAAGTGGTGGTGCTGGGGCGGTATAGGCGGCGGTGACAAAAAAAATATTTTTTTGATTTTTTTTTTATTTTTTTTTTGATTTTTTTATTTTTTATTTTTTTTTTAATTTTTTTTTTAAATTTATTATTATTCAGAATATTTTTATTAATTTTTTGGTATATTTTACGAATTTTTATTATTTTTTATTATTTTATTATGAATTAAAACATTCCAATAGGTATAAGGGTATATTTGTCCAAGACAAACATAATTAGTCCTATGGAAACATAGTTTATTTTTTGGTCCTATTTGTGCAAAGTGAATGACTTTTAGTCCTATTTTGATAATTAACTCTAATTTAATTAGTAAACACATTTCATTAATGGAATGAAACTAAAGAGAATTCATTAATCTGCACTTCAGTCTTTTGTAGTTAGTTGTGCAATTCCACGTATTTCTAAATAGAAATGAAAATAAACATAAATGAGCGTAAACAAACTCTAAAGTTGCCTAAAACAAATAGGGAATCAACAATTGTGATAAAGTAGTTTCTATGGTACCATTTTACTATGAATAATGCTTGAGTTTTTTTTAAAATAATACCAAAAATATAATAATTTACAAAGATATAGTAGAATTAAAAATATTTACTAAAATATTGTTGGATTAAACTACGGTAAAGAGAATCACCATATAAAACGGCGACTTTGCCTTAAAAACGAAAACTGCTTATACGAAAAGATAATCATGGGTTGCGCAAGAGGGGAATAAAAGTGGGGCTTAAGTTTAAAAAAAACTCATATTTTTTGAAGTGTCATAACTTTTGTATTTTTGTTCCAAATTTTATAAAAAAATCAAATTTCACAATTTTTTACGATCTTTCATATGATACTAATATTGTATTTATAACGTTTTAAAAAATCCAAAGATTATATGGGGTGAAAAGACTAGTCGTAATCATGTTCCGCCAATAAACCTAATTCTAAACCAATATTATCTTCGCTCCACTAAAATTGGAACACGAGCAGGTGTGACTATTAAGAAAAGTGGGCTAAGTGATTTTTATATTGAATTGATAAAGTAAAACATGGAAAGAATGATTTAGAATCACAATTTTTTTACTAAATTAGATATGAAACATTTTTAGTGAGACAAGACGAAAAAGAAAGACGAGACAATCTTAGCAAGACGGAGGCCGTATTTAAAAAAATATCTGAAGATTTAATTGGTAGAGTTTCTTAGACTATTTTTTTCTTAAACCGATGCAAGTGCTAAAATTAAGATTTCATGGTTATTTTTACATCTTTCACAGAAAGGCAACTCAATGCCTTCTCATAGAAAGGCCACTCCACGACTCCACGCATGCGGACCACAACATTCCTATCACAAGGTGATGAGCCCTCAAAGTTCAACCCACAGCCCTGAGGGCGAAGCCTTTCTGTCCTACATTTTATTTTATTTCGTACATCATACATTACTTTATAGATGAAATTGAGGGGTTGCACGTCACAGTAGTGTTCCGAGGGGTTACCCTTGTTTTCCCCCGGTCTTTTTCCCCTTCTCCCCCCTTATCGCTTGTAGAGGCTTCAGGTGGTGTGGTCACGAAGAAGGACCAACTCTATCGTTACCTCTCGAAAACACCATAGTCTGTGAACTCATCGTCTTCAAACTCTTGTATGAAGCCCTCGGCTTCAAATTCAGCACGGAGGTGACCATCCAGCTCCCTGACAACCTTACAATTGCCCCCTAATGAGGGTTGCGGACTGGGGGACGTCTCCTTCAGCCAGCTCTTAGCTTGGACTGTATCGACGACAACATTGATATGTTCTGTGAATCACCTTCAGACGACATCGTTTTAGACACTAACAATAGAAGAACTATAAGCGAACCTAAAGGCGAGTTGTACTGACACCATATCAAAGGTCTGGCAAACAATGTATAAGGAAATCGACAAGAAAAAGTGAAGAACTGACCTTGAAAATAGTTTTGATCGAGGGGATGTTTATCACTCTAAAATCGTGCAGTGCTTCGCTTCAAATTCTCAAAAAATGTGCATGGGGTAATGACTCCAGCCATCGCGCATTTATAGCCAACCTAACAACGGTTACCTTGAAACCACACCTCCGACGAAAAAGCCACCATTACGAACCGCCTGGCCAACCCAATAAGAAAACATGCCCACAACAAGCCTATCAATGTCCTACACGTTGCACTTTTAACAGCGGCCACTTCCAACAGTCATTTTGCCTCCGGTATGCCCCCCCCCCACGGAAACTCACCTTCGGCCAATGAAATAAAGGCCACTAGGCCCAGGAGTAAGCACACGTTTGAGGCCTTCCAAGCAAGGATGTCCTCCGGCTATCGCACCCCTGATACACTTGGCTATCTCGAGTTCACATGCCCATGATTGCATTAAGGCCCTCAGGATATCACACCTTATTAACCCCTTCTACTCGAGTGACCTCCGACTAGAAGGAGTTGGGGACTGGGGGACTACCCCTCAGTCTATTTTCAAAACACACACAATTTTCACAAGAAATACAACGAGTGGGCATTCCCGAACATAACAAACTACTCCCCTTTATCTCGAATAGCTCTCGACAAAGGAAGTGGGGGACTCATAATGGAGTATATGGTCCAGGACCCCTGTCCACATACTCATGCCTCCTAAATAGGCCCAACTACTTTGAGCGGCCCAAAGACAACAATTGGACACCCCTCGAGCCCAAGCATGAGGACTTTAGACAAACGCCTTCTCACAAAAGGTCGCTCCACGCATGCAGACCACGACATTTATGTCTCAGGGTGAGCCCTCAGAGTTCATCCTTCAGCCCCGAGGGCAAAGCCCTGGCAAGAAGACTTTTGGAACCAGCGCTTTGCAACATTCAACCATCACATTTAATGCTTCAACATGTGCCCACATTTGTGTCACATGGGTGCTCTCACATTTAATGTCCTTATCATATATGACTAGTATAAATAGCAGACAACAACCCCTTTGGCAAATGTAACGGTTCGAAAATCGTTAATACAATTGCTTTCTCTCCTACTCAATAACTATGCCTTCTCTCTACATACCGCTAATGGTATCCTGGTATTAATTATCTATCACAACTAACGTAAAGATGCATCGTACAAACGTTTTCACAATAAACACAGTCTGTACCTGAACCCCCACATATATATAACACCACATATGTATAACACATGTATGTGTGTGTGTGTGCCAATTACTAAAGTCTAAAGATACACTAATCTCTAAAAACTTATAATAGTCAATGAAGGTTTGGATATTTTAGGGATGAAAAAAATGTTGGTGTAATCCTCTAGCTTAATAGGATGGTACAATCTGTTTTACCATGTGTACCATATAGCTTATTTTCGTGTCAAGTAGCTCCCCTCCGTTTATCTCCGTTTCTCAACGTCTGCTTACGCCCCAGACCATCCGTAGCTAACAAAAATACGTTGTCCGTTTTCTTCTTCCATAACAAATGATCCCTGGTGGGTCCGTTTTCTGCAAAATACACCGGCTATCGC